AAAAAAATCAAGGAACTACTAAGGATCAACAAGAAAAAGACAGCAACCAATAGAAAAATGGACAAAGGAAAAATGGCATTTACAGAAAAGGATGCCCTCAAAGCCAAGGAATATATAAAGAGATTCTAAAAATCATAAAGAAATACAAGTTAAAACCACAATGTAGTACCACAATATGCCTGTTAGGTGGTGAAAAATTAGAAAGCTCTGAAATGTGGGCAGAGAAAGGGGAATACAAAAACTCTCATGCACTACTGATGGCAAGCAGCCATCCAGAAGAACAATCTGACATTTCCTGTGACCCAGCAAGTCCATTCCAAGCTATACATCCCAAAGAAACTCTTACATTGTTCCATAAGCAGACTTGCATGAAGATGTTGTAGCATTTTTTTTTGTGGTGGCAGACAGTTGGAGAAAACCCACATGTGCAGCACCTCTGATGAGCAGGTGGGTAAAATGTGGTAGATGCATACAGCAGAGAGCTATTTAGCAGTTAGATGCAATATATTAAGTGCACAGATGAGACATATGCAGTATTTACATAAAGTACCAAACATACCAAAATAAACTGCGTAAGAACACACACACACATACTAAACACATTAAAACAGTAATGTGGGACGGAAGGTAAGAGAAATGACATATGGGGATTAACAGAAATAGATAAAACAAGATAGTGTCACACAGACCAAAGATAATCTGACTCTTCACAGCTGAATTTATGAGAAAGCATCTAAGAATATGAATAGGAAGGGCGAACTGTTACTGTCCCATAAATACGGTAAAAATCTGTTTCACTTTTGAATATAATAATTGTTACTGGAATAGTCAGTGAACTAGCATAACATACTGAAAAATAATTTACTTGTCTAATCCTCAGAATAAAAAACTGTAAGGCACAAGCTGTGGCTAAAAAAATGTTGATTCAGTAACTTTTAGTTAGTCAACTATATGCAAGGCATTATTAGGGAATAAAAGAAATAGAAAAGTGTGATGTTAAACCTTCATGTTACTCACAATATACGTGGGTGCTAACGGGGGAACAGTAACTGAAACAAGGGGCAATTCCTGCCCCATGAGAAGATCAGAGTGAAGGCCAGGCACAGTGGCTTATGCCTGCAATCCCAGCACTTTGGGAGGCCGAGGCGGGTGGATCACATGAGGTCAGGAGTTTGAGACCAACCTGACCAACATGCAGAAACTCCGTCTCTACTAAAAATACAAAATTAGCCGAACGTGGTGGTGCATGCCTGTAATCCCAGCTTCTTGGGAGGTTGAGGTAGGAGAATCGCTTGAAACCTGGAGGCAGAGGTTGTGGTGAGCCGAGATCGTGCCTCTGTACTCCTGGGCAACAA